GATGAGCCGCTTCTGTCGCAAGATCACCGCTCGCTGCTCAGCGATCACCGACTGAGCGTGCCGCAAGGGTTGAGTACCGGTGGAACTGTACAACCGCACCGACTCCTGCAGCTGTTCGAAGTGTTTGGAAGCGATGCCCTGAAGAGTGACGAACGCCGCATCCCTCTCAGAAATGGATCGAAGAAGGACGTCGATCTCGGCGTCCCGATCCAAGACTTGCTGATGGTGGAGCTGGGCCTGACTCAACGCAGCGTCGACCTTGCTCTGCTCAGCTGCGATGGCCCGAGCAAGTTTCGCCTCACTCAGAGCTACAGCCTTCCGCAGCGACGCGAGGAGATTAGCCGATTGCTTGGCAGCAGCCTCCAATCGAGACACTTGCTGTTGAGCCGACGAGAGCTGAGTTGACAAGTCGACATTGCTGAGAGCAAGCGAGTCCAGTCGCCGAGTCAATGCGCGGTTCTCCTCCTGAACAGCTTGGTTGTCAGCTTGGAGATCGCCGATGATCTTGGGGTAATCAAGAGCGGCGTAATTGCCTTTCAGGATATCCAACAGTTCCCCCGCGGAAGCAGCATGCAAAATCGCTCGCCGCTGTACAGGATCGGAGGGTTCCACGGAACGAGTGAATCCGTAAGCCATGAGCCTCGCCAAGAAGGTCAATTCTTCTCGGCGATCATGCCCTTGCTCGTTAATTCTGGCCATGAGGGAGTCAAGACTCACTGGAGCAGCCGAGCTTGGCTGATTGGTGGTGCCCGAAGTGGTGTCGCCTGGCAAGCTCGGTGGACCAGGAAGACGCACGCGAGAAGACCCCGCCGACTCCGCGTCAGACTCATGGGAAGTTGTCAGGTCGACCAGCCCAGCTTCATGCCGGTCGCTGACCCCACGAGTACCGACGGGTCGAGGAATCGACTCAGCTGGCACGCCTTCACCTCGACGAGGAGTTGGAGAAGAAGGATGGTTCCACGGGTTGTGCTAGAACAACATGCGAAGAGTAAGGAGCTGCCAAGTGAGTGACAGCGGAAGCAACGAACGTACCAAAGAAGGTGGTGGGGAGCCGCGAGACGTCATCAGCCGAGTACGGACCAACGGTGGCAGAACAAAATGAAGGATTAAGACACTCACCAGCTCGGCTCGTATCATAACCGGGGCAGTTGTGGTGTAGGGATTTCCAGATTCGACCATACGCCGACCTACTTTAGGTCAAGAATCGGCTCGGTCTGATAACCCAGAGCTTAGGAGCCAAGGATCACGGTAAGTACTCGGCGATCTGTCCGGATATGCTATCCGGATAGCCGCTGAGCTCAACGGCCGCCTGAAGAGTCGGTAGAGATCCGAAACGACTACATTTCACTAGATATTTGTATGAGAAGCATAGGATTAAATAGGAGGAGCCGAAAAGGCTTCCAGAAGATAACAGAGCAGAATTTTCCTAGTCCAAGACAAGTGTACACTTTTCCGGTAAGTCCCTGCATAGGGCTGGATTATGCCTGCCGTCAATACTCGAGAGGCATAGCTTGTAGAGTATTGACTGGTAGCGCCAAGAGATTAGGTCGGTCCGGGTAGGACAAAGTCTCGCTACGCGCGAAAGAAAGTCCCGCATACTCAGCGGGCCGGTACGTCGGATAGCCCGGGTGCCGTAACACTTCTAGCTGAGCAGCCTCTGCGCTCGGTGACCTGTAAAAGCGCTCGCGCGCCGTCGTCCATCCTTTGGTGGAGGGCACAGGGTTGTGAACGAGCTCAGCCGAACCAAACTCGGCGGAGTCTCGGAAGTGATCTGACTTGGTTAGTCGGAACCGAGTGGAAACGAGCCACTCGTCTGTCCCGGAAGGGCCGGACCGCGAGGGGACCACCCTCTGCGCAGGCCATACAAACCGCCGACCTAACTCGGCGATTCGTTGTGGTTTGTGTAAGGAATCCACATCTGACGATATTTGTGTGTTCTACTACACCACAGCTCACTCTGTGCACAACGTGCGTCGTGGATGACCGGCCCACGACGGTGCCGTAAGGCCAAACCTTCTGGGCGACCAGGTGGTGCGTGCGCACCTTGCTCATATCATAATCAGTGCGACGCTTGACCGATCGGGCCAACCAGGCAGTCTCTGGTTGATAGCGCGTCAACCACGGCATACCCAGGATGCAGTCAAACGCGTAATTCATCTCAATGACGAGGAAGTCGTCGTTGCTTTGGAAGCCGTCAAACGTGTACGGAAGTGTAATCTCGCGCCGCGCGACGCGGCGTGATTTCCAATCGGCCAACTTGACAGCAACCTCCCCTCTACCTTTGCGGACAGTGATGTCTGACGGGAGTACCGACAAGCACGACGCGCGGAAGAAGTTGTTGGTCGCTCCTGAATCAAGGAGCGCTCGCAGTGGTCGCTAGGCGTCGGCGACATGAAGACTGACAATAATCAATCTTGAATCTCCCGGCGTGGTGGTGGCATGAAAGTGTGCATGTAGCACAGGAGGGCTAGGATGTTGGGTTGCCACCGGGGGGCCCGGGCCTCCATTCCAGCCAGTTGGGCGCCCCGTACCTACTGACCCTGACTGTTTTTTGGCTGGTCAGATCTCGCGGGCTCGGCATCGACATGCGCAAGCACTGGAGCTGGCGTGCGGCACTCCGCCGCGCGATGACCGACCTTCCGGCAGCGGAAGCAGGTGAGAGAACGATCGTTCCGAGCACTGTTCCGACGCGCTACATGACGCTGACGATTGCTCGTCGCATCGATAGCGTCGATGTCCATGGGATCGGGCGCTGATTCCCAAACTGAAGCAGGTAGCGCGTGAGCGTATGACGCCGCAACCAGGTAGTCCCCGCGTAGTGCGAGGGCAAATGCCTCTTCGAGTGTAGAGGGGTCCGATCTTGTAAGGCAGTAGCGCGTCATTCCTTCGCGCATATCGAACACAAACACATGAACCGGAGAGGCCAAATCGATGGGCTTGGACACGATACACGACGCGAGGTGTCGTGTCGTGTCTTCTGGACGTAGTCGCGCATAATCATCGTGCACTGCCGAAGGACGAAGAAGTCTGCTTGAATTCGGGATTCATCTTGCGGCGGCTCGAACGCGAGCCGAAGGTCACTCTGGAGGGTATCCAGAGTGGGGAAGGCGTTGGAGTCGACGAGGGGGGGGGCATTCCTTGGCTTTCCTAGACAGCCGCGAGAGGAGGAAGTGGACCTTCGCGGAAGGCGCCTCGATCAACCTCGAGGCGATGGTGATGTCGATCTCTCGAAATCAGCGATTCAGCAGAAGTCGGCACCGGAGTAGGTGGTCGTCTCTAGCTTCACAACGTCATTCGTGGAGATACCCGAGAGAGTTGACACTCGCCGATTCGCATTGGCGAGCTCGCGTTCCATGAATTCTTGTGCCGCAATGCGCTGCTCGTCGGGCGTCGCTGCGCGTAGTAGCGACGTGACGACGGCTTCTCCGGATAGCGCCGCGAGGGGGTGGAGAGCTTCCCACTCGATCCGATTGAGATGGAGGAAAGCAGCGTGGTCGAGATTTTGGCTCATGTAGAACTTAGTCATTGGAAGGACTACGAAGTGCCACCAGGTGTAACGGGCCAGGTATTTACTCTGTTACTTGCTTGCGCCTTAGTGTTGAGGAAGCTCGCAATAGGACGACTGAGGCTTAGGTTTAAGGAAAAATTAACTCTGACTTTATTTTTTTTTAGGACCAAGGCCACAGCCCTGGCCACTCAATTACACGTCAAAGTTCAATTGGCTAATAATGGGTCTGGTCCCCCATATATTAGCCAATGATATGACAGCATTTCAGCACACGCTAGTCGTGTGCCGATGCACCTACTTACGTAAAGAAATCTACCTAATTATGTAATGGAGGGGGCCTAGTCCAAGACACGTGTACCCTCTTCCGGTAAGTCCCTGCCTAGCGCTGGATTATGCCTGCCGTTGGTACCCGAGAAGCATAGCTTGTAGGGTATTAACTGGTAGTGCCAAGAGATTAGGTCGGTTCGGGTACGACAAAAGTCTCGCTACGCGCGAAAAGAAAGCCCCGCGGACTCAGCAGGCCGATACGTCGGAAACCCCGAGTACCGTAATATTTCTAGCTGAGCAGCCTCTGGTGACCTGTAAAAGCGCTCGCGCACCGTCGCCCATTCTTTGATGGAAATCACAGGGTTTTATGAACGAGCTCTGCTGAACCGAGGTCGGCGGAGCCTCGGAAGTGCTCTGACCTGGTAAGCTGGAATTAAGTGGAAGCGAGCCACGCGTCTGTACCGACAGGGTCGAGCCGCGAGGGGACCACCCTCTGCGCAGGCCATACCTAACTCGGCGATTTGTTGTGGTTTGGGTAAGGAATCCACATCTGACGGTATTAGTGTGCTCTACTACGCCACAGTGACAGTTCGCAACAATGGAACATTGGTCTAGATAAGGGTCGCTACATGGAGACCGACCATATCCGACGCGAAGTACCATTCAAGGCCCCATGTGGGGAAGACGGTCAGCAGACAGGAAATCTGCGACGCGCGCCAAAGTGGAACGCCCACTGAAGTTGTGACCAAGGACTTGACTGGCCGGCAAGCACCAGCAAATGCCCACCAACCATCACTACTGTTGATCTTTAACAAGAAGCTCAGCTTAGACAACATGAACACCAATTTCACCTGTAGCTACAACCATCACCACAGCAACTGGTGACAGGGGTTGGCTAGGTGGTGCCGGGTGAGATCGTTTTTCTTGTATATAAAGAAGTGTCGCGCGAGCAGGCTATTGCTTTTGTTGCGGATGTCTTATTAATAGTAGCATTTTTCTTATGATCGAGAGCCTCTCTTATACTCTTACAGCAAATTTGACTTGATTTTAATAAGGGAAAGGATGAGACCGCTCTAATATCCGGTTTCCTCTTATACCCGGCGCCACTATAGCCAGAGTTGTCTGAACATGTTTACCGGACCTGTTCAAGTTGCTTGACCCAAGGTGGGAATGAATCATTCGTAATTCTTCCGACTATTTGAAAATTGTGCTCCAAAGAAGACCTATGACGTTCTCTCAAGAAGCGCAGCTATCGCCACTAGTGCCAGCTAAAGGAGTGTGCACACAACGCCATGTCGATTCCCTCTACGCCAGCCCAAAAGTCTTCCCTCCAGAGGCCAAACTCAAGGCTGAACTCTCCACAGGCATCACTGTCGAGTATGCCATTCACGAGAACGAGAACAAGGTCGACGATGTATCGGAAGAGCGCGTGGTCCTCATTATGGGATTCGCGACAATCAAAGAGGCGTGGACACCGCTGATCGACATGCTGCTGCACAACTGGAATAATACCAATCACAAACGCAATGTGAAGCTGGTGAGCTTTGATAACCGAGGAGTGGGAGGGTCGGATGTGCCTTGGCGGCGCTACACCACGAGTGGTATGGCTCAAGATGCCTTAGCTCTGATGGACCACCTCAAGTGGAACACAGCTCACATTGTAGGAATCAGTATGGGCGGAATGATCTCAATGGAACTTGCATCGGCAGCTCCCGAGCGAGTCAAGTCGCTTACTCTCATAGTGACAACACGTGGTAAATACACTGAAGATCCTCGCTCCAGAGCGCCGATGAAGGAGAGCTTGGATGCCAAGAAACCCGAGGACATTGCCAGGGCTCAGCTGAAATTGCTATTTAGCGACGACTTCCTGGCACAGTCGATGGACTTTGGGGACAAAACAAAGCGTGACGTGATCTACAAGTTTTTGGAAGATCGAGCCACGTCACGTGTGAAGCCGTCACTCGTTGGACTGGTCAACCAGGTACTTGCGATTCGAACGCACTGGGTTTCAGATGAACGTCTTGCGGCCATCAATGACGCCGGGTTTCCGATTCTGCTGGTCGGATGTGCAATGGACATTCTCATTCCTCCTCGCGAGACGCAGACGTTGCGTGGTTTCTTTAAGGGAGACCACGTCCGGACGCTGTTCTTCAAACATGGTGGTCACGGTGTCGTCTTGCAATATCCAGAGGAAGTCGCGGATGGTTTGACCGAGCTGATTCTGCACTGCTAATGTAGGTGAACATTGGAGAAATATGCTGGCTTGCTGGGGTGGCCTCTATTCAATCATCTGCGTAGCTTTTTCAACGTTTACTGTAAAAATAATTGTTTGGTGCAGTCACTGCTATCATGCTGTACGTTTCTCACTTCGCTTGCCGATGCGTTTGCTTCTCGAGTTTTGGCTTTGTGATCGCCATGCTTACTATATTTCGCCAAGACAAGTTCTACATGTAGAAATCAGGATCTCGATGAAGTTGGACTCCAACTTGGAGAACCCAAAATGCACCAAGTAAAATGGCCCTTTCGCCACAGAGTTAATTGCCGCCAGCAATTTACCGGGGTCAAGCTCACTCTGACACTCTGAGTGCCGACTCGGCCATCGCTGGGCTCCGTAGAGTCTACGGCGTAGTCGGCGTTAGCACGGCGTGCTTCGTGCCTGGACAGCTTGCCTCGTTTGCAAGGTCCTTGGCCAACACATGGTTGGCATACCACGGTACAAGTACAACATGTATAAAAGACCACGACTGCATACTGATTCCCAACGCGTAGCGTTTACAGGCAGGAGTCTGCAGGACCTCACAATGGATAACCATTAAGCATTCCCCCTAAGTGTGTGCATTTCACTACTAGCACTCGACGATGAAGGTGCCAATGAAAATTTCGGTTGTCACCTCCCCAGGTCTCACCTCGGATCGACAAATGGAGGCGCTGCTTTCAACACCCAAGCACTTCACAGAGGAGCACGTGCGCCGTGCAAAGGTGGCCACGGGGATCACGATGGAGTACATGCTGGAGACCAATGCTGATGCGCACAGCCCAGCATGCCGACACCTGCCCGAAGAGCGGTTGGTGCTGATCATGGGCTTCCTTCAGCTGAAGGAGCTGTGGGGTCCCGTGATCGACATGTTGATGAGGAAATGGGACGCTAAGAAGCAAGGCCGGAACCTGAAAATCCTCACCTTCGATAACCGAGGCGTGGGCGGCACTGACGCGCCCTTGGGGAGATACACCACCAGCCAAATGGCGGACGACGCGACTAGTTTACTGGACCATCTTGGGTGGGAATCTGCAAACTTTGTTGGCATCAGGTACGATTCGATATCGATGTTATCCACACCGCTCGATGGTGTAAAACATGACTCTGTTGTTCTGTAAATGATCGCTATCGAGCTTGCGTGCTCTTTTCCGGAGCGTGTACAGTCCCTCTCTCTATTGGTGAGTACTCGCGGTCGATATGTCCCGGACATCCGCTCGATGGTTCCGTTGCTTGGCGCCATCTTCTCGCCGACTCAGACGGGCGTTGTGAAGAACACCGTGTCGCTCAATTACCCGTCGGACTTCCTCGACCGTCCGATTGGTGACAAAGATGTACGCAGTGTGCTAGAGCGGCACTACGCCACGCTTCCGAACCGACACAAACCGGCCGGCTATAAGGCACTAGTGTGCCAGGGTATGGCCGTGCAGACGCATTATGTCTCGGACGAACGACTCGAAGTCATTGCGAAGGCAGGGTTTCCCGTCCTGGTCGTTGGGAGTATGCGGGACATCTTAATCCCGCCGGAAGAGTCCGTGAAGCTCCTGCAGCGACTTCCGGGCGACCAGGTACGGGCTCTCTTCTTCAAGAACGGTGGCCACGGCATTGACACGCAGTTTGCAGAGGAAGTCGCTAACGGTCTCGTCAAGACCCTGAAACGAGCCCGACTTTGAGTACGAGTAGATAGCCCCACTGCCACAAAATAGGGCAAGTTGAAGTGGGTGATCTGTGTGAATCACAGTGTATTTTTTTTTGTCATCTCGAATGACGTGCAGCAGCGCTACAAGTACCGGTATGTACAAGGCACCTGTCTGTCCGTCGGACACCTAAAAGCCTCTTAGGTACATGTAAATAAAGGTAACGTTTACCAGTAGATTCATTGTGAATCCTTTCGAAAGGTTAGAGAATTGCTTGAAATTTTATAAGGGTTGCTGTGGGTTTTAATCCAGCTTGGATTGGTGTGCCGAATGAGATGCTATTTCGGCAGACCAGTGCTAAAAATTATTGATACTGTACACCAAAGTTAGACTCTAGGGTCAACATAAGCGCGGCGCTGCAGTGGATCGGCCCAAGTGGAGAGTGCAGATTTCTGGACAGGACCATGATGCTCGATTTGCTCTTGGGATTGTGAAGACAGAGAAACATCTTCGTCCCGCTTTAACCGTCCCATGAAATCATTTCAGCCAATCCATTTCCGTTTCGAAAATATATCATCCAACCATAATCATACGGGCGTGCTCAACAGAACGCGAAAAAGTGCGGTAACTTGCAGGAGTCGGTTCATCTCCGTCAAAAAAGTTTGATATTCGACGCACTCATTAGGCAAAACGGCCGCACGTGCGCAGTAAATTCACCGTGAACGGACCCCTTCGTTCATCTCCAAGCTCAGCGTCATGAGGGAGAGTCTTCCAGCCACACGCTTGACCATGTCGCTCATGAACCAGGCGGACCCGAACGGGCGCGATCTGCGACTCTGGCTGCTCTCAGCTACGACGCACCACGGCGTAACATACTACCGCATCGCAGGGCGCTTCTCCTCGAGCGGCCAGACGTGGGAGGTGAGCCACCGCTACTCAGAGTTCCTCAAGCTGCGCGATCAGCTGGTCAAGTATCTGTCTTCGTCCACAGACAAGTGCCCTGGTTGCCGCAACTATCTGCACTCGATCCAACGCTTCGACTTTCCCAAGAAGCACCTCTTTGCGTCCAGGGCGCCACCCGTCGTCAACTATCGCGTCAAAGCGTTACGCTCCTTCCTCAACCTGCTGGCGTCCTGGGCTTTCTCCAAGACGCCTAAGTGTCCCATCTGCGGAGGCTACGCCTTCGAGGTCGTGCGCAACTTTGTGCTGGAAGGCGATGACCTGTCCGCCGACGCAGACATGAGCTCTATCCGGGAGTCTATGGCGGTGGGGGCCTTTGCGGAGCCCAATTTGGCCAGCACAAGAGGCCAGAGACATTTGCGAAAGAATAGTTGGATGAAGCTTAGCTCGCCCATGAATCCGGATATGACCCAGAGCATGTACATCCCACGCAATAGCAGCAGACAGTCAGAAGCATCGCTTCCACCCAGTGAGGCGTCGACTACGGCGCATTCTCAGCAGTCGAATCCGAAGTCAACGTCCCAGCAGCCCAGACCAACGTACCCGTCCTCAGAGCGACGATACCAGCAGCAACGCAGTCGCCAGGACGTCGATCCGTACGACGCGTTCAACGACTATTTGCCGGAAAAGCAATCGAAGGTCAAAAAGGCAACACAGGCAAACATGGAACAGAAGATCCAGAGCGGCAAGTTCGCGTTTGTGCCATTGCAAGAGTCGATTGAAGAGAGGAAACAACGTCATCTCCGCGAACAAGAAGAAGCCAACTCGTATCAGCAGAAGCTGGTGAAGCACCGCAGCGAACCTCGTAATCTGTCGGCGCGTCGTCCCCTGGCAGAGAGCGAGTTGTCTGTTGGCACCAGTGCCTTTGAGAGCCCCCACTCAAACAAGCGAGTCGGAAGCCGGAATGAGAGCTTTATCTCAGACGTGAGTATGGCAGCCGAGCCTATCTTTATCCATGGAGACGAACTGAAACGCTACGGCCTCTCGGATGACGAGCGCAAGGCCAGGAGTGCAACGAGCAGCGTGTACTCAGGCGACGACGAGATTGAGCTCACGGGAGTGGCGATGGCGTCGCCTTCGCGAGCGGACAAGAAGAATGACAGCGACAACTTGTGGCAGCCCTGGGAGCTGGCCAGAGTGGCTTAACTGACAGCTCTTTCTTCATCTACAAACACTTTGCAGTACCGTCACCTGGCACAACGATTCAGATGCCAGGTACATTTTATTCTTTAGTAAGACTCAATCGTGTAAGCTGTCGAAATACATCGATAGGATATCGCTAGAGTCCTACGTTTGCGGCAACAAATCAATTGACCGATCTGTTTTTTGTTGTTGCTTCTATTTGTGTCCTAGCGTCATCCTTGTGCGGCTTCCGCGATATGTGTTGCGCGTCACAACTTGTAACAGCTTCTTGTGTGGATGGAGGCCAGTTCCATACCGGCATTCTTTTTAAAGTAGGAGCTCGCTGGAAAGACTATTAATATTGCACCTGAGAAGCTGGACGAATTTTCAAATCTTGATAATTTTATTTTGATTTGTTGATTGATTCCCTTATATTTTAATTAATTAATTTTTATTTTTGTATATTAGCTAGCCCAAATTATGGTATTAAATATGTCCGTTTCGGATTGCTAGGTGTAGGTCAGTCAAAGTTATTTAAAAGGACCCACCCAACTATTAAGAGATTAGCGCGACTGCCTTAGCCAATCACTCTCGATTAAAGTGCTGCCGCTGCGTCTATACCTTCGATAAGCTCGATTGCCGCCGAGCTCTTGGCCATTCCGAAAGAAGTTTTTGAGCCGCAATGACTTATTCAAGCGACCTGCGATGGGGAGCTGCTGTGCTTGTCTATATTTATGAGATGGATGTGGTAATGGCAGGTGCTCTGTTTGGTACTCATGAGCGTAGTGTGCGTCTCTGGATAAACACGTTTAAAAAGACTGGCTCGACCACTATCAAGGCTAAGAAAAGATAAAAGATAAATGATTAGTAGGTGGCCTCGAGAAGTTTTTGTATGTGTAGAAACATACATTGAAGGCCATTCGTGCTTTTATAATCAAGAGCTTCAAGCTGAACGACGCCACAAGTTCGAGCATCTCAAGAACGTCTCCGATGCAACTGTTTGCAGAGCCTTGCGCTTTGATCTCGTCTTTACTCTAAGCGACTGACGAAGCATGCCAGAGAGGTCGCACCTAAGGAGTGGTGTGAATATGAGTCTCGATTGATGCTATTTTACAGCTGTCCTTAACCTTAATTTGTTAATGAGACCGCTAAAGACGGCAGGTAAGTATTGGAGATTTTTATTATAAGTGCAATACCAAGCCAAGCTAACGACTTTTTACTTGCGCTAGGAGCGTAGTACGAAAATATGCATGGTCCAAGGGAGGGAATCCTGTCACTGTATGTCTTCCATCATGTGCAGCGTATTTTGGTTTTGGCGGCAATGGATGTTGGTAGGTTTTTCTCGTGGGGACACACGCTTGGTACTTTCACACGGAGCGAATTTTACAATATGTTTGCTACAAAAATTGCTCCTTACCTGAGCCCGTGGCCAATACCAAGATCTATTGTCGTCTTGGATTACTTGAAAATTGACATGTATGAGGAGCTGCAGGAGCTCGTACATTCAACAGATGCATTGCGTTTTATTCTGCCACCAAACTCACCCAATATCAACTCGATCGAACTTGGGTCCTCACTTTTGAAGCGATGGGTTTTAAAACATGCCGCTCATGTTTTAAAGAAGCACCATTTGAAGTTATCACCGTGGTGCTGCGTGAATGTACAAAAGGAACACGGTCATGCTGGTTATGGGTTGTTTTTGACACTGCAGATATCAAGGTGTAGCATTAATTATTGCACCTTAATAAATACATATTTTATTTTATGTGTAGCTACTCCTACTGCGAGTTTTCCTGTCCGTCTTGAAGAACTTCTCCCTCACTGATGAAATGTGGTGCTGTCTGGTACAGCAACTTCATGTTCATTTGGCAGTCATGCGCGATAGCTGCATATCGCAATGTAGCTGAACCAAAATGAACCTTGGTAGTTTAAATTGTTGGGCGTACGCGCGGCAGCAGTTGTTGAATTTGGGATGACGTAGCCTGCTGTCTCTTCGTCCTTTTTGCCATTTCTACAAAGACAAAATCTCCCCAGCAAATTTATCTCGACCTCCGTCGCGTCTTTTCGCGTTGTTCCAGCTTTTCCGCAGTAAAAACTGGAAACTACTCATATCCATCTTTATGTATCCCCTTTGAATGGAATGCCTCGAAACCTTAATATAAATATCAAGGTAATCTCTCCACGTGTCCTTCAGTTTGAGCTGTGCGGCAAAACCTGGCTTCACCTTCGCTATCAGCACGTCATACCCTTCTTCGACACGAAAATCAAACGAGACAGCAACGCCTATGTTGCGACAGCCCTCTAGTAGATCATCAGCTTTCACAGTCAGCTCACAAGACAGCTCATATGACATTGACCGACTTATGCCGAGCGGAAACACTGCGTGTAGCGGGGTACGTAGCCCCAATAGGTACCCTAGCTACATGAAGTGTGACACATCACACTTCGGGATATCTGGTACATGGTACCAGGGTCGTCCGATGACATTGCTTTTCTATAGGTGACTTATAGTATTTATATTTAACTCAAGCTTAGCCTACCTTTAAATATATTCAGATTACAACTTACCTTAAATTGGTCCCTTCGCTCTCTTAGACAAAAGGGATATGTGAACTACTGCTCACTGAGAGTTTGTATACTCTCGGAACCCAACTTCCTCTAGCGCAAGGTGCTGTGTGACCCCGTCGCACTGCGAATGCAAGGCAAAAGACAACGTATTTTTCGTTTTAAGATCAGAACCATTCCATTAATAGTCTACAGAACAACAACAAAAATAGTGAAGGGATGCTAGCAAAAGAAAACACGCAATTTGGTAATTGACAAGCAGCACTACTCACCTTTTATAGCTTGTATCTGGCGGGGTACTAGCCCGAACGGGCGACAGTCCTCTCAGAATAAGCTGATGCCGAGGCCCCTCAATTGACTTCAGTCGAGTGCTCTCCCGCCGTGCCACCAGAATGCACATGTCTGCTCCAGTCAGAGAAGTTTTTGCCAGTATGGGTTCAGATTAAATTGTCCCAATTATATTCTCAAATACTGCAGCGTTTCAGCCCCTCGGTTATCTCAACCATTTATGATGCTTGCTGTTTATTTAGCGAGAAAGTAATGTGAGGTTAGTGCACCCCTAGGCTTATCAAGAGGACAATCCAGCTGAAACACACAATAAAAGATGATGACGTGAATGAATAATCGAAATGTAGCTCTTTACAACTATGCTTGCAACGCCTTTTCTGTAAATATATGCCTTGCTACCTATTTATTAATAGTAAGCTGCTATGCCACAAGGTGTCTCGAATTGCCACTAGGTCCTAGAGTTTAGTATTTTACCCTGTACAAGGTAATATCCCAATTGCGCTTGCCACGCGTCAAATTTCATTCTTATAATTGGAAAGTAGAACCTGGCAATCTTGCATCTTGTTTCGATCTCTTTATAAAGTTGCTGTAGATTTATCGAAATTGCAATAGTCATGACCCATTTTCAAGAAAATTAGGGTTAGTACCTAAAATAATGGTTTTAAATTTCTGTAACACTTGCTGCACTTCGTGACCAAAACGGAAGTAGTCTTCATTTTTTTAATAACAGCCTATACAGCTAGCATTCTTGATAGTGAACCAATACTTGATAAAGCCTGATCGATACCAATTATCGCTTCCTATGGTGCCTATAGATCGCAGGTAGTTTCTAAAATAAAATAATTAATTTTGGCACTGCTTTTAAAAATTAAAGAATTGAGATCATTTGTAAAGCTGGTCGACTTTCCATTGTGAGCAATCCAATAGTCCTTCTCCGGACCAAACTGGACCAATTAGCGTTGGCTAACTCCCGCCCTTACACAAGTCAAGAAGCGGTCGACGGCGTGCGTAAAAATACTCGAGAGGCGCTCCACTTTCTAGTGTGCTGCCCTCATCGCTCAACGCCCCTATAGTATCAGGGCTCGATCTTTTCTTTGTCGTATCGGTCGCGCGCTTTTCGATGCCGACTAGTGTCCAAGCCTGAGCTATCATGTGCGTAAATTTACTTGAAGCGTATTTTACGCGTAATTTCCGGTTGCTTTGCCGTGTATTGATCCAAGACGCTAACGAAGCACCTTGACGACAGACCCACTTAATTGTATCGTTATTCACGCATTGGAAATCACGCAGTCGGTGCGTCCTTCTTGGTATAATAGAATGTTCGACCTGTGTAATTTTTCGTAAGATAAAACTGACGTTCTGGCTATTAAATCCCGCCCCCAGCGATCAAGCGCGTATGGAGTCCAAGACCGCCGATAGCTCACGAGCGGCCTCGTCCAAGTCGAAGGAGGGTCTGTGGTGGCGCTGGACCCACGGAAAGAGCGGCACCACGGCCTCCAGCAGCCATGTAGGCTCGCCCTACGACACTAATAATCACACCTATAGCAGTAGTAATAGTAAGCCACCAGCCACGGCGTCTCCTGCCGACGGGGTGCGGTGGCAGAAGCGCACCACTCGGACGCCCAGGGAGGACACTCTCTCCTCCCTTAGCTGGTCCAGCTCCCCAGACGCCGGGAATAACTCGTCCTCTCCTAAGTTCTTCTCTGCTACGGCATCTTCGGCCACACGAAGCTCTCGCGCTTCAGCTGCGCCCGCCAAGAAGAAGACGGCCACATCGCTGTCGAACCGTGGACCTCGAGACGGTTATAATACCAAGAAGACGTCACTTGGAGCGTCCTCGTCGTCCTCGTCTTCGTTCGTGTTCTTCACTCGAGAGGAGAAACGTGCAGCGTCGTCGGATATCTCGTGGTCACTGGGGAAGAGCAAGCGACCGGCAACAAAGAAAGACAGACGCAGTGCAAAGACCTCAACAGCGTCGCTGTCCGGTGCTCGAGCTACTCGTGAAGTGACCACGAGGAACACGCAGTTCCTGCCGGATGTCAACGAGGACGCGGAGATGAGAGCGCCGGACGCAGGCGCCAATATGTTTGCCTTTTCGATGTCTCAAGCGAAGCCTAGTCAACGTGTAAGCACGAGCTTTAGCTCATCGAGAAGCGACAAGACGGACAAGTTCGCTCTAGCTGAAATCCCAGTGTTTAACTTTGACGACACCCTCTCGAGATCCAGCAAAAGTGCCTTCCCGCCATCTTCGCCCTCGGTAGCGTCCACAGTCTCGTCGACTTCTTCTTTCAACTCGCAGTCGCTTTGGACGGTAGACCCGCTCGTGAACTGCGCTCGAGCTGTGCTGCAAGACTGCATTAGGAAGCGCAAAATGGAACAGAGCAGCGCTCGGAAGCGCTCTATCGAAGGATGTTTTGATGGCGATCTGCTGGAAAGCCAGGAGTTCGGCTGGCATGACGACGCGGTGTCGAAGCACAGAGACTTTGGGATGATGAGTCCTGGATCCAGGTAAGTTTTGGGCTAGGAAGTGCCATGATGTTGCGCTTCTAATTATTGTCAATGTGTAGCAGTAGTAGCGATGACGAGCTCAGCCAATTATCGTCGATGGACCAGTCATTCTGGTGCGTGCTGCTATCGTTCCAGTTTATTGACATTTGTCCCAACTAAGCGCCGTTATCTACAGCGCGGAGAAATCAGAGCGAGGCTGCGATAGCAAGTTGGCTAAAGAAGAAATGTACCGCCAGATCTTGGTGGGGGACTACGACCTCAGCAGTAGTCCTGAGTTCCAGTGCTTCAGCCCTTTGATGGAAGAAAAGTGCGTGATGATTGCAGTGGGTGTTGCCAAATGGCTGGTGCTAACCTTTGGAGTTTTCTAATGCAGGGGACTGCCCATCGAGGTTCGATATCAGCTCCCTCTGGCGCTGGGAACAGCTAATGAAACCAACAAGGAGTGCACGATTTGTCAACTTCGCTATGGCATTGGCGATCACATCGTCACGCTTCCTTGCCAGCACTTCTTCCAGTACGTTTCTACAATTTCTATACGCTACTACGACGATCTCGTGGCTAACTTGGTATGTGCTTACAGTGCTTGCTGTGTCGACAAGTGGCTGTGGAATCATACGTCGTGCCCATTGTGCCGCACGGAAGTGTCTTTGGACCAGAAGACGGAAGTCCTTAACACAAAACACAACTTCACCGAGTGCTCTCTTGTCGACCAGGAGCGTATTCGTCGCCAGCTACGCTCGTCTTCCCAGCACGCAGGCTTTCGTCCTGTCGTTCCAGGTACGAAACAAACAACGAGCTTCCTTCTGCATGTAGATCACACTGCTGATAACTGTTTTACAGTGGAAATTGACCAGCTCGAGCTTGAAGTGTCACGTATGGCGATCGATGAAGACTCGGAGGTTGAAGACGAGCCAAGCTATCTAGTTTGGTGCGTGTGTGGCATTGCCTCCTAAACGCATTGTCTATTTACTCACTCGCTCTCTTTTCTCAGCCCAACACCGCACCTCGCTACGAACACCCAGGACCATTGTCCTGGCAACTGATAAGCGCCGCCCTGCGAGAATTAAACAGGAGGTGTCTGCTTCCAAAACAAAAAAACAGCCAGGCGTGCACAAGTCCTGATCCTGTGGCTTGTGGCTCCTTGGCGACTTCCTTTCCTCGGGGGTATTTGTATGGTGTTGTAATCGACCCCCACACGCCGTGCTTCCAGTCAGCAGTTATACTCGATCCACCAACTTCCAGGCATGAAGAACTTCTCTTCCTGTTCTTGATTTGCCTGATGCATCGCTGGGAGACGGCAGAACGAGGATGGACAGGCTCACATCTAAAAAAACAGCAATAAAACGAAACAACTCCACGGCAACTTCCGACTTGAAATTCATTACTGTGTGTTGGCCTACCAACCGATCTTTCTCTGTTATCTTAGCGCAACTTGCGTCCACGAACGTAGGCGAGTGCACGACGGTCTAGGCGTTTGGTTTTTTGGATGGAAACTGCACTTGAAGGGGCCGGATGGTGATTGTAGTCTGCAATTGAGTGATGCATTGACACCGGGTGGCAAGACATCTCATCTTCCTCCTCGCCCATTCCAATCTGTAATAAAAAAAGAGTAAATTGGGTTAGCCAAACTGAATTACGCTAAGGTCGCTCATTGTGAAGAAAATCTTACCCATTCATCTTCGGTCACGGCCATGACGTGTAGAGAGTACAGCGCCAGAGCGAGCTGAAGCCACTGGACGAGTAGCTCGGACCCCAGGGAAACAGCAAGCAGGCACTGCAACATCAACGGCCAACATTAATATCACCACTTCTTCTATAGCTCTAGTGACAGTGTTCCGTACCTGTGTTGCAAGCGACAGGAAGAAGATGGGGCTGCACAAATTGCTAGTCTTCACCGCTGAGATGATGAATGAGGCGAGCAATAGTTCCGCACCTGTGCACACAAGACAAAATGTCAGCGACGTTTTCTATGGAATGTGCCAATTGTGGAGACTACACAACGCACCGTTCAAATCCAATAGGAAGCTGTGGTGCGATATGCCTTCGACCAGGAAGACGAGCGGTAAAATAACGCGGAACGTTGTGACCATGGCGGTGGGGCCGTTCGTGCAGAATAGCTGGACCAAGAACGCGTACCAGAGACACACCGGCGCCCAAGGTGGAGCCCACGGGAATACGTACTGAACCAGGAAGGGGAACCCATAAAGGAAGGCGAAGCAGAAGCCGATATGGCGATGGGTCAAGATCGCGCGGAAAGCGACACGATGGATGCGAATGAACCATGAGGCCGCATGGAGTGACAGCAGCAGAACCACACTAAACACCACAGCCAGCACTGACTCCACGTACGAAACCGTGGTGGCCAGTAGACCCTTGACGTTCAGTTGGCCAGCAACCCAGGCACAGCCACGTCGCGTGCCAAGGTAAGCAGCTAGTGCAGCTGAAGCAGCAGCGGCACCTCCCTCGCGTAGCCCCTGACTGATCCTCGTGGACAACGGCGTACTTTTGGTAGCGAACGCCTCTAGTAGTTTGTCTTGCGCTTCGGTGGCTATATCGTTGGAAACGTCGGAAGGTTTTGAAATCAAAGATGGCCCCCTCTTGTCCTTCTTTCCTCGAGTTTTCTTCTTGTCAGCCTTGTCCTTCTTAGGCTTCTCCTTGCGTTGTTCCTTTGCAGTTGGCTTCTTCTCAACTTGGGATGGCTCACGACGAAACTGGCTGCTTCCAGGCTGACTCATAGCCGGAGCAAGAGCTGCCTTCTTTGACTTCTTCTTCGACGCTGCACGTTGCTGATTATTAGCTACTTGAGCTTGTTCCGCGTCGGATTCGGAGCTTTCTAGAGACGACTCTGGGGCGTCCGCTTTGATCTCTCGACGTTCCTCTTTCAGCTCTTCAACTGCATCTTCAATAGCATCGCTAGACGAAAACGATTCACGTTTCGGGCTTGTTCGATCCACTGCAGAAGTGTCACGTAGAACATTGTCAGCGACCGGGATGCTGTCGGCGTCCTCGTCTGAGTTCTTCGTATCGTCAACATCATCGCCTGACGCAGCATCATCGTTGACACTAGGCCCCTTTGCAGTCACTTCATCAGTATTTTCACTACCGTCCTTGGTGATACTTGAGCCTACAGAGCCAACATCGAGCGCTTTGTGGGTGGCAGAGCTGCTTTTAGCTTCTTGCGTGACAGTTTCCTTTGGTTCCGTAAGCTTAGCAACGATATTCTGGCTGTCGCTCTCCACGCCTCGTTCCTGGGGGGAGTTCGATGCGCTTGATCTCTCCAATGACAGCTCCTTGACTGGTTCCTTGACTTGCTTCTCACGATACACCTGGCGACGAGTAGACCCAGCACTCTTGTCATTTCCTCTGCCGGGATTCCGTCTCGCAGTACTACGAGTTGCAGACTTGGCATCGTCACGGCGTTTACTTTTGCCGATTTCTCGCGAAGCTATCTTTGTGGGGCTTCCGCGAGATTCAAGACCTGACAGGGGGTTGGCAACCGATCCAGAATCTTCACTTTGGTTCGTCTGTACACGTCTGCGGCTGTCAGCGTTCGATGAGGAAGACGTTGCGCTCTTCTCCGCTACGTGGTTGCGACGCTTTCCTCTTGTCTGCTCGTTATTGTTGCGGTTGCTATCATACGAAGACGGAGAGTCGTGACCCAAGGGGGGAGTCACCTTACGTCCACGTTCCGAGCGTCTCGGCCTCATAGGAGAGCCCGGTGTTAAGGCGTTGATCGCGTCCATACTGAACTCCAATGCTTTCGCTCGTAGATCCGAGCGACCTTCAAACTTCTTTCTTCCTTCTCGAGCCTTTTTCGGGCTTCGAGGTGCTTTAGCTGTCGCTTGAATGTCGATTCTCCTGGAAGTCGTAGGGGCTCGAGTATCCCACATCGTTGACGCCGAATCAACAGCTTGTCGAACATGCATTCGATCCATCTCGCCAACTCTTAACGAGTGCGTGTTCAGCTCAGCCAGCTCTGGGTTTGACACTCGTCCGTCGGTGAGTGAGTCTTCACCAAACACACCGGTCGATAGTCTCAAACTAGACAGTAAACTGGGTCCATACTGGTCATCACCGCCTGAAAAGGTTCTGTCAGATGTACCTTCATTGGAAGGCGACGGAAGGAAAGGACCGAATTGAGATCCCGCTACACGCGGTGGCATGCGAGTCTGCATCGTGCTGGAGTCACTGAGTCCAGGAGGACCAACCAATCCAGGCGGACGCTGAAGTATCCGACGCGGTTGAGATGCATCTGTCGCTGTAGACGGCCACGTCCGCATTGAACTAGACCCAAATGTGTCTGCGCCACTTAAGTACGACGCCATTCCTCCTCCACGATACAAGTTTTGGCTCTCGGAAGCTCCAAAAACTGCGGAATTCCCACTGTCTGCTGGCATCGAGAAGCTCTTGGCAGCCTCCTGGCCTCGATTGAACATGGATGTGGGGGATCTGATGGATCCAGCTCCTCCAATTGCTTTTGTATCACTAATTGCTGGCCCAAACGGTCCGGCAAGTCCGAAAGGGCTACTGGAGCTTGGTGTCGATCCAGCGGAGTCTCCAAAGTCCCGAGATGATCGTGGTGTGTGAATTTCACCTCCCAAATCGGATAGCAAGTAATTGGTGGGTCTTGGGGACAAGGTAGAACCGCCACCGGAGCCAAATGGCGACAGGTCGAGCGTCGGCCGAGGCCGCGCGTGAAGGCCACTAAAGTCCACGTCACTCCTCGATTTCGAGGATCCGTGAGCTGCGGAGACCGTAGATGCATTCCCTGAAGACGCGACTATTGATTGGCTGCTGGCCGTAGCAGTGTTGCGGCCTCCAATAGGACCAAAACTCGCCTTTATGTGACTACTATTTGGAATAAATGCGGTAGTACAAATGAGATACTGAGTGCAACAAGGAGAGCTAACTAGTAAGAGTGGCGTGATATGATCGACAAGGCGCACCTCTTCTTGGGAGGCGAGTCGTCCGCGATGCCGTTGGGCAGGAAATACGTCAAAGCCGGCTCGTCGTCCGCGTCCATGTGATCCAACTTGAATAATTGCAGACTGGCTGGCTTTGAGAAACAGTCGATTGTTGCACGAAGGTTTTATCAAATTCGTGTATTAATAACATGGTACTGTACTGTACAGTTGACGGCAGTTTCTTTAATTTTTCTCACCATTTTTTTTTAATAAAAAACTTGGAAATTCTAGCTAAACTTTTTAGCTAAAATTCATTTAATAAAAACAGATTATTTTTTCATGTACGGTATGTACAGAGCCTCAGCAGTGAAGACTACCGGTAGCAATTTTCAGCTTGAAATCCTTCTTGTTGCTTGCAACATTGCCAGAAAATCTTACAATCCAGCGACAACGCGCCGCTTTCTGGGACTCTCTCACGAACTTGAGTAGTTGTCGGCTATCCAGGCGCTAACAACGCCGTTGCTGTTGAGCTGGCGAACATAATCCCATGTGATCACTTGAGGAAAGTGCACATGTAAGAAGAGCAGCATCTCAAACATGCTCATCCCGCCCACCCGTTCATTGATGGCCGTAAGAGCATGTTCAGGATAATGACAATGCAGCCAATGCAAAGTGGCCAAGTGACCTTCATCCACAGCGGTTTGAACCGCCTTGGCGGAGCAACCTTCCGACCTGTTTGCATGTAGCCATTTGATCACGTTCAAGTGACCGCATCGAGCAGCTCCGTCCATAGCTTTTATCGTACACCCCTCATTCCTGTTAGCATGAAGCCATTGCACGACCTCGAGATGACCGTTTCCCGCAGCTTCATCCATAGCTGCGCTAGTGCATCCTTCAGACCTATGGGCATGAAGCCATTTTACCACATCGAAGTGACCTTTAGATGCAGCACCATCCATCGCCTTCTCAGTGCATCCTTCGGATCTATTGCTATGAAGCCACTTGACCATCTCCAGGTGGCCGCCGCACGCCGCTCTGTTCATCGCATCCTCTGTTACCTTTGAGGGGTGCTTTGACAGCAGCCACTGGAACATCTCCACACTTCCATTGCCTGCAGCAACGTCCATCGCCTGCTGAGATGCAGACCACCACGCAGCAACCTGGTGAGCTTGACTAGCTCCATTTGGTGTCGTGTCAATCGTCATCTCGTGGAAAAGCTTCAAAATATTGAGCCGCTGGTATGTCGCCGCAGTGGCAATGCCCCAAGCCCAGGGATCCCGGTAAAAGTCCATCGAAAAAGGAATATTCTCGACCAACCACTTGACTACATTTATGCGGTCTATGCGAATTGCATATAACAGCTCTTTTTTATACATAGCGACAACGTGACCATCGCTGACGTCGTCTGCGGCGCTAAGGTCGTAGACATACTGCATAATATCGACATGGGAATTCCGGCCTGCCAAATGCACGAGGATATAGCTTCGTCGATGTAGCCGCAAGTCTGCGCGATGCTCTCGTCCCAACGGGTGCTCCAAGAGCCATCGAAGCATCGTCAAATAGCCATTTTTGCATGCAGCTTCAATCGCAGTCCGCCATATACGCGAGCTTAGCGGACTATCTTGACAAGGGGGAGAATATAGCAGAACAATCTGCTGCATGAGATCCGAACGTCCGAAACGGGCCAAGCTCTCAAATGTCGCGCTAGCAAGATCTCCATCTCGCTTGACATATCCACAGTCAAGTAGCAGCTCCATCACCTTCATGTTCGCCGAAGACGCATAGTCTAACAAGCAACTTCCCTTGGGCATCAAAATCTTGGCAATTTCATCACTCCCCTTTCCCAGAGAGAAGACAACTGCTTGCTCGAGGCCCCGCTCATCGTCTCCAAGAGGCACGTTTTCATGTAGCCATTTCACAACTTGAGGGCATTCAGACTCTACTGCACTCATCAGCACATTCTCGCCCCAGTGAACCACATGGTTACCAATAGGCATAGGCTCCATCTTTTCTGCCTTCTTCATCTCGCTGTCATTTGCCTCCACTTTTCTCTTCTTCTGGCGTTTGTTTTCTCTTCCTTCGCGACTGGCATCGCTGTCCAGTAGAAATTGAAGTATGGAAAGACTTTTCATACTCGCAGCCAGCGTCATTATATCTAAAGGCACTTCAAGCCCCGAGAAGTGAGCGAACAGCCATTTGATCACGGCTAAATCCTTACGGCGCACAGCAACTTTGAGCGATTCCATAAACTGGTCGCGATTGTAGTGTGGATCTGAGCGTAGAAAGTTGTGGAGTGACCATGTTGATGGACGACTTGCTGCAGATGTGGGGCTAGAGCTCCAAATCCAATCCAGGAGCTTGGTGGAGCCTAAGGAACACGCTCGGCTGAGCGACAGACACGGTGGCGGTCCTAAGAAGCTGGAGATTTGTGGTGCGACGTGCTGCAGAGGACCTGGATCTCGGTGGTGCCGCAGCAGCCCAGCGACGATCGTCAACGAGGTCATTGGGTTCACACTGTGAACTTTACAGGTGATGCCGATTCTAACGAGATCATTGGGTTCACTTGTCAAAGGTGAAAGATACGATTCCATATTAGAATATATATTTTTACAGTCAAAGTCTGTTTTGCAATGATCACACAATCATTAAATCCGGGTCATTTGAAAGAAAAAAACAATTTAAGGAGTGTTTTTATAATGGCCCAAGTCAACGGTTTTTACCATTTTTGCTAGCAACCAAAAGTTTCCTGTTAGGAAGTCATGTCGGGGGTAGTGCGGTGTATTGGTGTGGCATGCTCAAAAAAATAGTAGAAGGCTTCTGAATTTCAGTAAGGAAATTCCTCTCCTCCTTGAGTAGAATTTGTGGTTATCAATATATAGCTTCTTTTCTGGTGAGCAAGCCTAGGCTGTGCACGTTCGTGTGGACCTATGTCGAAGGGCAATCCACGAACGCTGCGGACTGCTCTGTGGACTTGAGCTTGCAGAAGCGGCACACGTCGTCAATGCAGCCAACGCCTCCGCTCGCGCAGGAAGTGTCAGTGAAGAGGCCGATACCGACGCTGGCATCGCCCTCGGAAGCAGCCTGAGTGCACGCTTCGGCGAGCTGGACAGCAATTGTGGGTGTCTCGGTTGGGGCGTCACTCGGAGCATCCGTTGGAGCCTCGGTCGGGGCGTCGGTGGTGGTAACTGCGCCAGCAGAATACCCGGTGATGGATGTGCAGTCCGTGTAAGTCGTCGATTGCGGCGTGTCGAGGGTCTTGCAAAAGCGGCAAACAGTGTCGATACAGCCCAGACCGCCACTTGAGCAGGTCGTGTCCGTGACGATATTGATCCCGACTGATGCGTCACCCGCCGAGACTACCTGGGGGCACCCTGGTTGGTCCACCGGTGCTCTGGTTGGTGCTTCCGAGGGAGCCTCGGTGCCAACAATAATTGCAGTGGGGGTATTCGTTGGTGCGTCGGTTCCACGAATCATGCCACAATCCGTGAATGCAGCCGACTGCCGCGTGTATACGAGCCTGCAGTAGCGACACACGTCGGTGATACAGCCGATACCACCAGTAGCACACGTGGTGTCCGTGACGATGACGATACCAACCTTGATGTCTCCCAGTGCAGCAACTTGTTGGCACGTACCATCGACGGATGGTACCCCCGTTGGAAGCTCAATTGGTGTCTCCGTGGGGACGTCTGTCGGGGGATCCGTGGCGAGCTTTGCGACGACGGTAGCACCAGCAATTGTGCTGCAGTCTGTGAAAGTGGCCGACTGCACTGTGGTGGTCGCTCTGCAAAAACGACACACCTCATCAATACAGCCAACACCACCACTAGTGCATGTAACGTCCGGTACGATCTTGATCCCGACGGCAGCGTCACCCTCGGACGCCACAAGCGAGCAGGCTCCATACGAGGTCTTTCCATCTGTGACAGCAAGGGTTGGTGCGGGGGTAGTCGGCGTACCATCGGTAACGATCGTAGACGCATTGAAGTCATTGCAGCCGAGGAACGCAGTGGATTCCGGCGTCTCCTTCACTTTGCAAAATCGACAATGGTCGTTAAAGCAGCCGAGGCCTCCGTACAAACAATCGGCATCAACCACCGCAGCGATGCCGGCGGCAGCATCTCCTTCAGAGATTTCGCATGAACCAGTGGTGGCTGTAAGCGGTGCCATGGTGGGGAAGGTTGCTCCGAACAAGGCGCAGCTTTCAAACCGCGTTGACTTGGGTGTATCGAAGAGCTTGCAGTAGCGGCAGTGGTCATTGTAGCAACCAAGTCCACCGTTGAGGCAACCGACATCGTTGACGACACGAACGCCGAAATTCTTGTCGCCGTCCGAGACTTCGCACACGACGGTTGTTGTGTCTCTCTGAGAGGTGGAGAGGGGCATTGCTAGGCTGCACAGGGCGATGGCATAGGCCCGGGTGGAAGCAGTACGCGGGTACACCATGGTCGTTGAAGTTGTTGAAAGAAGTGAGAATTTGGACAAGGTAGTGTCCGGTGATATCTGGCCGGCGATGTAGATTGAAGAATGCATCGAGTTGTCCGCCCAAAGAAGAGCTTGCACGCCATTGCAGCTTGTGAGTCTCCAAAATAAGTCGGCAATCCTTGTCATCGTATATTTAGGAACTCGATAGCAATATCCCAAAGAATCTTCGTGGATCGCTCCGATTAATGTTGCGTTGGCCATCTAATAATCCACTTTTTTGTAAAATTCTTTTTTAATTTTATTTTTGTTCTCAACGGAACAGCAAACAAAAAGGACTGCTTGAAGTAGATAGGTGTTATTGTACTGGCGAGATGAAATGCAACACCAAACATTGCCCCTTCACAACTTCTCACCCAATTACCCAATTTATATGAGCTTTTTTTTGTTGGAAAGATAACGATTTCTTCTCTTAAGTAGTCATAATCATCCTTGAATATCTGCTCAAATGCACATGCTACACTTAATCGAAAAGTGCGTGTCTTTCGTTCCGCCCAAAAAATCGGTCTGTTGATCATTTTCTAATCGGTTTAAAATTACTGAGCTCGCTGTAATCTTTTTTTAGTGCTCTAAAAAAGTGGATTATTAGATGGCCAAACGCAACATTAATTGGAGCGATCCACGAAGATTCTTTGGGATATTGCTATCGAGTTCCTAAATATACGATGACAAGGATTGCCGACTTATTTTGGAGACTCACAAGCTGCAATGGCGTGCAAGCTCTTCTTTGGGCGGACAACTCGATGCATTCTTCAATCTACATCGCCGGCCAGATATCACCGGACACTACCTTGTCCAAATTCTCACTTCTTTCAACAACTTCAACGACCATGGTGTACCCGCGTACTGCTTCCACCCGGGCCTATGCCATCGCCCTGTGCAGCCTAGCAATGCCCCTCTCCACCTCTCAGAGAGACACAACAACCGTCGTGTGCGAAGTCTCGGACGGCGACAAGAATTTCGGCGTTCGTGTCGTCAACGATGTCGGTTGCCTCAACGGTGGACTTGGTTGCTACAATGACCACTGCCGCTACTGCAAGCTCTTCGATACACCCAAGTCAACGCGGTTTGAAAGCTGCGCCTTGTTCGGAGCAACCTTCCCCACCATGGCACCGCTTACAGCCACCACTGGTTCATGCGAAATCTCTGAAGGAGATGCTGCCGCCGGCATCGCTGCGGTGGTTGATGCCGATTGTTCGTACGGAGGCCTCGGCTGCTTTAACGACCATTGTCGATTTTGCAAAGTGAAGGAGACGCCGGAATCCACCGCGTTCCTCGGCTGCAATGACTTCAATGCGTCTACGATCGTTACCGATGGTACGCCGACTACCCCCGCACCAACCCTTGCTGTCACAGATGGAAAGACCTCGTATGGAGCCTGCTCGCTTGTGGCGTCCGAGGGTGACGCTGCCGTCGGGATCAAGATCGTACCGGACGTTACATGCACCAGTGGTGGTGTTGGCTGTATTGATGAGGTGTGTCGTTTTTGCAGAGCGACCACCACAGTGCAGTCGGCCACTTTCACAGACTGCAGCACAATTGCTGGTGCTACCGTCGTCGCAAAGCTCGCCACGGATCCCCCGACAGACGTCCCCACGGAGACACCAATTGAGCTTCCAACGGGGGTACCATCCGTCGATGGTACGTGCCAACAAGTTGCTGCACTGGGAGACATCAAGGTTGGTATCGTCATCGTCACGGACACCACGTGTGCTACTGGTGGTATCGGCTGTATCACCGACGTGTGTCGCTACTGCAGGCTCGTATACACGCGGCAGTCGGCTGCATTCACGGATTGTGGCATGATTCGTGGAACCGACGCACCAACGAATACCCCCACTGCAATTATTGTTGGCACCGAGGCTCCCTCGGAAGCACCAACCAGAGCACCGGTGGACCAACCAGGGTGCCCCCAGGTAGTCTCGGCGGGTGACGCATCAGTCGGGATCAATATCGTCACGGACACGACCTGCTCAAGTGGCGGTCTGGGCTGTATCGACACTGTTTGCCGCTTTTGCAAGACCCTCGACACGCCGCAATCGACGACTTATACGGACTGCACATCCATCACCGGGTATTCTGCTGGCGCAGTTACCACCACCGACGCCCCGACCGAGGCTCCAACGGATGCTCCGAGTGACGCCCCAACCGAGACACCCACAATTGCTGTCTCGACCTCCGAAGCGTGCACTCAGGCTGCTTCCGAGGGCGATGCCAGCGTCGGTATCGGCCTCTTCACTGACACTTCCTGCGCGAGCGGAGGCGTTGGCTGCATTGACGACGTGTGCCGCTTCTGCAAGCTCAAGTCCACAGAGCAGTCCGCAGCGTTCGTGGATTGCCCTTCGACATAGGTCCACACGAACGTGCACAGCCTAGGCTTGCTCACCAGAAAAGAAGCTATATATTGATAACCACAAATTCTACTCAAGGAGGAGAGGAATTTCCTTACTGAAATTCAGAAGCCTTCTACTATTTTTTTGAGCATGCCACACCAATACACCGCACTACCCCCGACATGACTTCCTAACAGGAAACTTTTGGTTGCTAGCAAAAATGGTAAAAACCGTTGACTTGGGCCATTATAAAAACACTCCTTAAATTGTTTTTTTTCTTTCAGGATGTAATGATTGTGTGATCATTGCAAAACAGACTTTGACTGTAAAAAATATATTCTAATATGGAATCGCATTCTTTCACCTTTGACAAGTACCCAATGATCTCGTTAGAATCGGCATCACCTGTAAAGCTCAGTGTGAACCCAATGACCTCGTTGACGATCGTCGCTGGGCTGCTGCGGCACCACCGAGATCCAGGTCCTCTGCAGCACGTCGCACCACAAATCTCCAGCTTCTTAGGACCGCCACCGTGTCTGTCGCTCAGCCGAGCGTGTTCCTTAGGTTCCACCAAGCTCCTGGATTGGATTTGGAGCTCTAGCCCCACATCTGCAGCAAGTCGTCCATCAACATGGTCACTCCACAACTTTCTACGCTCAGATCCACACTACAATCGCGACCAGTTTATGGAATCGCTCAAAGTTGCTGTGCGCCGTAAGGATTTAGCCGTGATCAAATGGCTGTTCGCTCACTTCTCGGGGCTTGAAGTGCCTTTAGATATAATGACGCTGGCTGCGAGTATGAAAAGTCTTTCCATACTTCAATTTTTACTGGACAACGATGCCAGTCGCGAAGGAAGAGAAAACAAACGCCAGAAGAAGAGAAAAGTGGAGGCAAATTACAGCGAGATGAAGAAGGCAGAAAAGATGGAGCCTATGCCTATTGGTAACCATGTGGTTCACTGGGGCGAGAATGTGCTGATGAGTGCAGTAGAGTCTGAATGCCCTCAAGTTGTGCAATGGCTACATGAAAACGTGCCTCTTGGAGACGATGAGCGGGGCCTCGAGCAAGCAGTTGTCTTCTCTCTGGGAAAGGGGAGTGATGAAATTGCCAAGATTTTGATGCCCAAGGGAAGTTGCTTGTTAGACTATGCGTCTTCGGCGAACATGAAGGTGATGGAGCTGCTACTTGACTGTGGATATGTCAAGCGAGATGGAGATCTTGCTAGCGCGACATTTGAGAGCTTGGCCCGTTTCGGACGTTTGGATCTCATGCAGCAGATTGTTCTGCTATATTCTCCCCCTTGTCAAGATAGTCCGCTAAGCTCGCGTATATGGCGGACTGCGATTGAAGCTGCATGCAAAAATGGCTATTTGACGATGCTTCGATGGCTCTTGGAGCACCCGTTGGGACGAGAGCATCGCGCAGACTTGCGGCTACATCGACGAAGCTATATCCTCGTGCATTCGGCAGGCCGGAAATCCCATGTTGATATCATGCAGTATGTATACGACCTTAGCGCCGCAGACGACGTCAGCGATGGTCACGTTGTCGATATGTATGAAAAAGAGCTGTTATATGCAATTCTCAAAGACCGCTACAATGTAGTCAAGTGGTTGGTCGAGAATATTCCTTTTTCGATGGACTCTTACCGGGATCCCTGGGCTTGGGGCATTGCCACTGCGGCGGCATACCAGCGGCTCAATATTTTGAAGCTTTTCCACGAGATGACGATTGACACGACACCAAATGGAGCTAGTCAAGCTCACCAGGTTGCTGCGTGGTGGTCTGCATCTCAGCAGGCGATGGACGTTGCTGCAGGCAATGGAAGTGTGGAGATGTTCCAGTGGCTGCTGTCAAAGCACCCCTCAAAGGTAACAGAGGATGCGATGAACAGAGCAGCGTGCGGCGGCCACCTGGAGATGGTCAAGTGGCTTCATCGCAATAGATCCGAAGGATGCACTGAGAAGGCGATGGATGGTGCTGCATCTAAAGGTCACTTCGATGTGGTAAAATGGCTTCATGCCCATAGGTCTGAAGGATGCACTAGCGCAGCTATGGATGAAGCTGCGGGAAACGGTCATCTCGAGGTCGTGCAATGGCTTCATGCTAACAGGAATGAGGGGTGCACGATAAAAGCTATGGACGGAGCTGCTCGATGCGGTCACTTGAACGTGATTAAATGGCTACATGCAAACAGGTCGGAAGGTTGCTCCGCCAAGGCGGTTCGAACCGCTGTGGATGAAGGCCACTTGGCAACTTTGCATTGGCTGCATTGTCATTATCCTGAACATGCTCTTACGGCCATCAATGAACGGGTTGGCGGGATGAGCATGTTTGAGATGCTGCTCTTCTTACATGTACACTTCCCCCAAGTGATCACATGGGATTATGTTCGCCAGCTCAACAGCAACAGCGTTGTTAGCGCCTGGATAGCCGACAACTACTCAAGTTCGTGAGAGAGCTTTGTAAAAAGTTCCAGAAGACTAGGATTGCCGCTATAATTTTCGCTGGATTGTTAGATTTCGTGCCTATGTTGCAAGCAACAAGTAGGAAATCAAGATGAAAAAGTTTTTTAAACATATAAAATTTAGGAAAAACCCAGGCTGTAATTAATAAAGTAAAATACCATGATTTGAAAATTGTCCCCTACACCTACTAATCTCATGATACGGCACCTGATCGCACGTATCTCTGCAGCGCAGCTTCTCAAAATTCATTCATTTCCAAACTTGCATCGTGCTGGAGTAATGAAGCGCAAAGCTCACTCTGAAGACGAAGCGTCCATCGACGAAGATCCCCCAGCCTTTTTGTGCAGCGTCTCAGAATCGGAAGGTGAGGAGGAGGTGGCCACGCAGGTTGGCGGCAGTGTTAGCGACGAGAAGTTTCCAGCAGACCAGGAGGGCTCTTTTGAGGGGAAGGAGCTGCCTCGCTACCACACAAACTGGGTAAGCTGGGAGAAATACTGCGAATCGTATTGCGAATCCGAAAGTGCGCATCTTGTGGTGCACGAATCGGAGAGTGTCGCCAAACGCAACAAGATGCTGCGTGCTTCTAAGCGCGCTAAGGACGGTTGTTCGATGCGATACTTACCCGAGATCCTTCCCCGTTTTCGCCGGCGATACATTTGTACGCACGGGTCGCGGACCCGCCGCCGTGGATCTGGAAAGAGACAGCAGCTCAAGCTTCGAGGTACTGGATGTCCATTTCGTTTTACTGCGGAGAGTGTGTACCACACAGGAAAGTGGACCCTAGAGATAAAAAATCCCATCTACACTCACAACCACAAACTTTACCAGGACATTTAGGAACATTATCCTCACGATCGCCAAGTTCCGATGTTTGAGCCTCTGGTTCAAGACCTTCGGTTGATGGTACGCGCTGAAAGCAAGAGTCTCCGAATTTACGAGTACATCCGCGATAACGCCAGGTACCAAATGACGCAGAGAGATGTGGCGAATCTTCTTACCCAAATTCGCAATGAGCTCCGTGGACAGGCCGATGATGGTTTGGCTGTTGCCGAATTTCTTGTCGGCTTCGGCGAGGAAGACAAGAACAACGTGGTAAGTGTCGATGACACGTCAACGTGGGAGACAGGATCAATCTCACTGAGTACAGGCCACATGCGCGCGACGTTTGCTAAGTATCCGGAGCTCCTGCCGGTGGACTGTACTCACAAAACCAATCGGTAAGTTCGTAACAGGTTCTAATCCAGGTTTCCTTTCAGGTTTTTAAACCAGGCTTCCAACCTGTTACGAATCAGGTTTCGTACCAGGATTTAAGCTACGGCTCAAAACAGGATTAAAGTGTTCATTCTTTTTCAACGTTTGTTTTCATGTTTTATAGATACGACTACCAGCTTTGCAGTCTGATGGTGATGGATGCCTTCGGGTCTGGTCAGTTCGTTCAGCACTCTGTTATCGAGACCAACTCGGATTGGTATATGCGGATCGTAAGCACCCCAAAGTCGGGACAGATCGGAAACCGATCCTAAGTGCGGCGTTATCCTTCCTGTTACCGAGGGTCCTTGTGCAGAAGTGCTTGGATGCCCTCTACAAGTCGGGCGCTGTCCCCCTGTGGTGTAGTAGAACACACAAATACCGTCAGATGTGGATTCCTTACACTAACCACAACGAGTCGCCGAGTTAGGTCGGCGGTTGTATGGCCTGCGCAGAGGGTGGTCCCCTCGCGGTCCGGCCCTTTCGGGACAGACGAGTGGCTCGCTTCCACTCGGTTCCGACTAACCAAGTCAGATCACTTCCGAGGCTCCGCCGAGTTTGGTTCGGCTGAGCTCGTTCACAACCCTGTGCCCTCCACCAAAGGATGGACGACGGCGCGCGAGCGCTTTTACAGGCCACCGAGCGCAGAGGCTGCTCAGCTAGAAGTGTTACGGCACCCGGGCTATCCGACGTACCGGCCCGCTGAGTATGCGGGGCTTTCTTTCGCGCGTAGCGAGACTTTGTCCTACCCGGACCGACCTAATCTCTTGGCGCTACCAGTCAATACCCTACAAGCTATGCCTCTCGAGTATTGACGGCAGGCATAATCCAGCCCTATGCAGGGACTTACCGGAAAAGTGTACACGTGTCTTGGACTAGGAAAGTTCTGCTCTGTTATATTCTGGGAGCCCTTTCGGCTCCCCCTATTTAATCCTATGCTTCTCATACAAATATCTAGTGAAATGTAGTCGTTTCGGATCTCTACCGACCCTTCAGCTGAGTTCCGGCGACCGTTGAGCTCAGCGGCTATCCGGATAGCATATCCGGACAGATCGCCGAGTACTTACCGTGATCCTTTGCTCCTAAGCTCTGGGTTATCAAACCGAGCCGATTCTTAACCTAAAGTAGGTTGGTGTATGGTCGAATCTGGAAATCCCTACACCACAACTGCCCCGGTTATGATACGAGCCGAGCTGGTGAGTGTCTTAATCCTTCATTTGGTTCTGCCACCGTTGGTCCGTACTCGGCTGATGACGTCTCGCGGCTCTCCACCACCTTCTTCGGTACGTTCGTTGCTTC